CTGACATACCAACAGCAATAGCTATGTTAGAATTAGAAAATAAAATGCTGTGTGAGATTTGAAGGTAAATATAGGAGCTCTGCTCAAAGAGGATTGGGGAAGGTTCCATTTAAGGATGACTAGAGAGGGACAGGCCTTCCAGATATAGGTAGCCATTTGAGCATGCTAGGTTCCAATGGGGCTGCTTGGTGTTTTGTATTCCATCTTCTCCTTTGGTACCTTTGTACAGGCTGGCTCTCCCTCCATGCCTAGAATGCTCTTCTACACCTTTTGGAACTCCTAGTTCTCTTCAAGGCTGAGGTCATGGATGAGCCACGTCCATGAGGCCTTTCTAATTAGTGGTCCTGTCTTCATGAAGTTCCTTTATATTCCTTTTGCGTATATCTTATAATTACTTTAACTATGTGCTTTCCCCCAGGACAAATAAAAGTAAACTTCTTGAGGGCAGGGATGGTTTTGGTTTTGTCTTTTTATTCCTAGTACCTAAGAGTTAGTAGGTGTTTCTTAACTGTTTAAACTGAATTCTTTCTTTTTTTTAATTCAGTTTCATTTTATTTTCAGTTCTGAATTCTCTCCCTCTCAACTCCGCCTCTCCCAGCCATTGAGAAAGCAAGAGAAACAACCTCATTACAGATATGTATAGTCAGGCAAAACAATTCTGCATTAGCCATGTTCAAAAAAATATGCTTCAATCTGTACTCTTTTTAATTAATTAATTTTGATTTATCAACAATCACTTCCATAAGCTTTAGAGTTTAAAATTTTTCTCCCACCTCCCTCCCCAAGGTGGCTTGCAATCTGGTATAGGCTATACATATACATTCCTGTTAAACGTATTTTCACATTAGTGATGTTGTAAGTAAGAGTTAGAACCAGTAGGAGGAACCACCAGAAAGAGGAAACAAAACACAACAGAAGAAAAAAAAATAGCAAATAATATGCTAAAATCTGCATTCAAACCCCATAGTTCTTTCTTTGGATGTGGATAGCATTTTCCATCATGAGGCCTTTGGAGATGTCTTAGATCCTTGTATTGCTGAGAAGGTTAGTCTATCAATATTAGTCATCGCACAGTGTGGCTGCGACTGTGTACAATGTTCTTCTGGTTCTGCTCACTTCACTCAGCATCAGACCATACAGGTCTTTCCAGGGTTTTCTGAAGTCAGCCTGCTCATCATTTCTTATAGCACAATAGTATTCCATTACATTGTTCAGTCATTCCCCAATTGATGAGCATCCTCTCAATTTCCAATTCTTTGCCATCACAAAAAGAGCTGCTATAAATATTTTTGTACATGTGGGTCCTTTTCCCATTTGTATGATCTCTCTGGGATGTAGCCCTAGAAGTGCTATCGCTGGGTCAATCTGTGCTATTAAGTCCATCGCCTCTGTCTGGAATTGAATAATATGTTTCATTGTGAGTACTCTGGACCTGTGGTTTGTTCCATTGTTTTGATCAGTATTCCTAAATTGTTCAAAGTTATTTGTCTATACAGGGTTGTTGTTATATAAATTGTTCTCTTGATTCTGTTTACATCACTTTATATACAAGTCTTTCCAGGATCTTTCCAGGATTTCCATCTTGTAGTATAGTAGCATTCCTTCTCTGTCTGTCTGTCTGTCACATACACATACACATATACACACACACATATATACATACATGCATACCCCATAAATTGTTCAGCCAAAAACATCCCCTTAGTTTCTAATTTGTTGTTACTATGAAAAGAGCTGCTATAAATATTTTTGTACTTAAGGGTCTTTTTTCATTTTTCCTGTTTTGTTTTGCATTTTTCTAATAGTGGTAGAACATTTTTTCATAGGGCTATTTGTAGCTTGAATTTTTTCCTCTGAAAAGTGCCTGTTCATATTCTTTGGTCATTTATCAATTGGAGGATGACTCCTATACTTAAATTTGAAACAATCCCTATGTATTTTAGAAACGAGACCTTTCTCAGATAAACTTGCTGCAGATGTTATTTTCCCATTTACCTGCTTCACTTCTAATTTTAGCTGCATTTGTTTTGCTGTGTAAAGACCTTTTAATTTATGTAATCAGAATTGTGCTTTTATTTCCTGTGAACTTCTGTCTTGTGTGGCCTTGAATTCATCCACATCTGTATATCTGACAGTTGTTTTCATCTGTGCTGCTCCAATTTGTTTATGATGTCACCCTTTATATCTAAGTCATGCACACATTTAGAGCTTGTTTTGGTAGATGGTGTGAGATGTTGCCCTCTAGACCTAGGCTCTGCCAGACTGTGTTCCAATTTTCCCAAAGGTTTTTGTTCAGTAGTGAGTTCTTGCCTTCCCAGTAGCTGGGATCTTTGGCAACGTGACCTTTTAAGGTATTTGAAAGAGGGAAGCTTACCAAAAAGTTGGCCCACAGTCTCAGACCTTCTTGTTACCAGAGAGGAAAGGTAAAAGACAGAACCTGAATACCCATGTCTGTCATTGTTCTCATTTCCACTGAATTTCCGTAAGAATAATAACACACCTGGATTGAAGGCTGTTGTCCGGAATATAAGACCCTGTTGTTATTGTTTGTTGATGGTCAAAACAAAACCCCAGTTTTTGATTTAGTGAAACAAAATGCCACCATAAAAGGTCTCCAGCAAGATGTGTACCATGCACATGAAAATCAAAATGATTCCTTTGAAGAAGGAGCAGTAGAAATAGCTTTTACCTGCTGATGAGTAGTATCACCATCATAAACCAGTGAGATTTATGCTGGGTAAAGGTTTTTGTCCCTTGGAAGATGTCCAGTACAGAGTCCAGGTAGATGATGAGAGATGCCTAGTAGATGGGAAGGTCTTCCATGTGTTCTGTTTGGGGATGACATTGAGATGATTGCATCAAGCTCCAGAACCTTACAGAACTTACTAAATGTGACTTACACTCATGACGAGTTCAGCCTAACTATCCACACTAAAAAAACACCAGACGGGTAGAAATGCTTGTTGTCCCGTCTGTGCTGCTCATGATGTGCATGGACAATGACTTGGGGCCTTAATTCCACAGGCAGAAGGAGAAGGGGCTGTATGGAGAGTGGGAGGTTCTACATAGCTTGCCCTGGTTTACATAGATAAACCACATTTGTATCATAGAATGCTTTTGGTGTAGAAATCCCTTCTTTTTCTCATTTTGCAAGCAGTTTGTGCAGTATTGGGATTAATCGTTCTTTGAAAGTTGAATAGCATTTACTTGTTACTCTGTTTGGTCCTGGAGGTTTTTCTTTGGGAGCTTATTTAAGGCCTGTTCAGTTTCTATTGCTGCAATTGGGTTGTTTAAATTCTCTTATTTCTAGTTCTGTTAATCTGGGTTTTTATATTTTCTAACTATTCATCCATTTCATTTAAGTTGTTGTTTTACTTGTGTAATACATGTGACAGTTATGTGCCCAAACAATTACTTGCAGGATAAATAGAAAATAATTACCAGAGGGAAGGCCCTAGAACTAAAAGAAATTGGGAAAGGCTTCCTGTGGAAAGTGGGATTTAAGCTGGGACTTGGAAGTCAGGCAGAAGGGGAGCATTCCAGATGTGGGGAATGGCCAGTGAAAACACCTGGAGTTGGGAGATGGAGGAGGGCATCTATGGTGGTGAGGGGCATTGAGGTCATTCCATATGAGCCTTAGTTGAAGGAAGTGGGAATGTTAATCCTGGAGAAGACAAGTTTAGGAAAACATTTTTTCAGTGCCAGCTTTGGTCCATGTGTAGAGGATTCTCATAAAGATTTTATAAAGCTAGAGAGTAAGGCAGGGGGGCCTGCGCTTACTGATTGTCCCCCGATCTCTTTTTAGGGTTAAAATACTGCTGGTCAGTTTTACCTTTTTTAGTATCTTCCTCTAACCAATGCTGGAAGCCTTTTTAGGATAGAGAAACTTCCATTCCATCAGAAGGTAGCAGATTCTGTCCTCTAAAGCCTTAGACTTTTACTTTAATGAAATTTGAAAGGAGTTGAGCAATTTTCATTTTCCTTAAAGGTCCTTAAAAGCAGTCAGTGTTCTACCTCCAAGTCCATCAGCTCAGGTACTTTATGCCAATGTAAAGTTATTTTTAAATTCTAAGTAATATAATTGTTAGCTTTTTAAGCTGCTGGTTGGGAAGAATTCTTATGTAGTTTTTGTTGTGTTACTTGTGAATGTTACGAATTCTTCATTAAAAAGGATTTCTGTTTTTAAAAAGTTTTTGTATTACATACTTTAATTCAGTAACATCATAGACATTTTAAGTTTCTTTCTGTTTTTTCCCCAGACCACATCAGTGTTTGTCTCATTTTTTCCTTAGCTTTGACCAAAAGGAAAAAATGGATTAGTGGTTTATTTTTTTCTTCTACTTGAATGTAAAATTCTGCTTCAGTTTTCATAAAACAAATTAGGGATCTTTTGTTTAATAACATGCCATGTGGTCTTCAACTTATTCGTGAAACTTTTGACTACAATTTAGTATACTTAAATTGACAGTTATTTTCCTTGTTGGGTTTTTATTTTTCCTTAAAATTTATTTAGAAAATGGTATTAAAAAATTGCATTGTTGGTAAGTGACTTCATGCAATTTTGTTATTAATAATAACAAATACTTAAGAGTCTTTGCCAATGAAATGGACATATGGCATTAATGATTCTGATATTCATCTGAAACCACATAACTTTTGCACCTGGTTCAATTTTTTCTCCCTTGCACCTTTATAGAAAAGCTAGCCATGAAAAACAATATTGATTTTCATTTCCTTCTCCCTTCTAATGTCTGCCCTCTGCTGGAGAAAATAGTGAAATTATCTGAAGCTGCAGGATGGGATGGGCAGTATATCAATTTATAAAAATTATTTTGTAATCATTTAGGTGGTAAACTTGGTGTTTCAACGTAAGTACTACCGATGAAGATTTGCTACTCTTAATATTTTTGAAAAATATGTGATTTTTAAAAAAAAGATGTGATTTTGATTTTTGCATTTGGAAATACCTCCCTGATTCTCATAAATGTCTCTTTCCAAAGGGTCTTGTTGAGGCATCACAAAATCTAAAAATGGAAAATGAAGAGCTTAAGAAAAAACACAGTGAAGCAACTTCCAAAGTTCTCCAGCTAGAGGAAGATCTTGTGATGGTGACCCAGAGAGCAATTACAAAGGAGACTGAGTTGGACAGGTATTGAAGATGGCTGTTGGTGACTGCTTTACTTTCAGAAGTGATTTCTTCTCGTATTTAACTTGATTTGATATTTTCGTAGTTTGAAAGACAAACTCAAGAAAGGAACACTCGAAAAAGAGCAACTGGAATGTCAGTTGAAGACCGAAAAGGATGAGAAGGAACTTTATAAGGTAATTTGGTTTTTTTTTCATCTTTCTCCTTAATAATAATTAGATTTGAAATTTTAGAGAACTAGGTGGCATGCTTAATGTATGTAATACGAGAAAGGTAATCTATTTTTTAAACAATAATTTATAAATTCAGATGATTATCCTGTTACAAGTAGTCACCAAGGTAGATTGTACTTATTCCATTGATGCTTTTATTTCTCAGGAGCTTTTTTGGAGTAACTTTTTTACCATTATCGTTAGAGCCTAAAATTGTACTGTATTCAAGCTTTAAAGATGGAAACTTTAGGGATTATGTTGTCTGACTTTTTCATTGCTGCTATAGCTGAAAAAACTTGGGATCCCAGAGATGCAAAGATTTTGTTAAGGTTATACTGTTAGTGTGTATAAGCAACCTCCTCAACAATCAGAGCTCACATTTATAAAACGTTCATAGGGCTATAAAGTACTTTATGTACATTAGCTCATTTGATCACAGTTGGATTCTCTTTTTGTTTCACTGCATTGCTTCCTTTGTCTGTGTCATTAAAAACAACCAGTATTCTCTCATGGTGACAAATCTTTTCCTTTTGTGGGTGGAGGTCTTTTTCTTTTTTTCTTTTTTTCTTTCTTTCTTTTTTTTTGCATTTCTTTCTTAGGTGTTTTTCTTTTCTTTCTTTTTTTAAATTTTTTTTTTTGATCAACAGTCACTTCCATAAGCTTTTGAGTTTTAAATTTTTCTCCCCCTCCCTCCCCAGCTCCCTCCCCAAGATGGCATGCAATCTGGCATAGGCTATACATATACATTCCTATTAAGCGTATTTTCACATTAGTGAAAGTAAGAATTAGAACCAATAGGAGGAATCACCAGAAAGAGGAAACAAAACACAACAGAAGGAAAAAAAAAAGCAAATACTATGCTAAAATCTGCATTCAAACTCCATAGTTCTTTCTGTGGATGTGGATGGCATTTTCCATCATGAGACCTTTGGAGATGTCTTAGATCTTTGTACTGCTGAGAAGGGCTAAGTCTGTCAAAGTTAGTCATCGTACAACGTGGCTGTTATTGTGTACAAAGTCCTCTTGGTTCTGCTCACTTCACTCAGCATCAGTCCATACAAGTCTTTCCAGGTTTTTCTGAAGTCAGCCTGTTCGTCATTTCGTATAGCATAATAGCATTCCATTACATTCATATACCACAACTTGGTTGGCCATTCCCCAGTTGATGAGCATCCTCTCAAACTTCCAATTCTTTGCCACCACAAAAAGAGCTGCTATAAATGTTTTTGTACATGTGGGTCCTTTTCCCATTGGTATGATCTCTCTGGGATATAGCCCTACAAGTGCTATTGGTGGGTCAAAGAGTATGATGTGTTTACACACACACACACACACACACACACACACACACACACACACACACACACACACACTCTCTCTCTCTCTCTCTCTCTCTCTCTCTCTCTCTCTCTCTCTGTCACACTCTCTCACACTCTTTGTGCTTAAAATTTATTGGTAAATGATTAAATCTCCTGGAAATTTAAAGAGACGTCAATGGAAAAATCATTTTTAGTTTCTTGAAGTAAATATTATAGAAGAGCTCAAGCTAGAATAGCCTGCTAGAGAAGGGATGTAGGAATTTAATTAGTTATAACTAAACTGCTTTTATAGACGACTAATACCATGGAATGCAAATTCCTCATCTGGGGAATGGGGGAAAGAACAAGCATTTATTAAGCACCTACTATGTGTCGGACACTGTGCTAAGGGCTTTTACAGACACTCTCTTTATTGCTCCTCGCAATAACCCTGTGAGGTCGGTGCTAAAATGACCCCTGTTTTACAGTTGAGGAAACTGAGGCAGACAGAAAATCTGTGACTTGCCCAGAGTCCCGCAGCTAAGTGTCTGAGGCCAGATACGAACTCAGAGCTTTCTGATTCCAGGCCCAGTGCTCTGAGCCACCGAGTCGCCTGGCTGCTTGTTTTATTTAATTACCGTAACACTTTTGTGAGCTGAATGATATTTGTGCACCTTTCTGGTTTGAGAATGTTCACAAGGTTTTGTTTGAATGTGAACAGCAGAATACTTCATACAGGAGTTTTGGTTTGTCGTTCACTCGGTTCAGTTGTGTCTGACTCTTCAGTGACCCCACTTGGGGCTTTCTTGGCAGAGATCCTGGAGTGGTTGACCGTTTCCTTCTCCATCCAGCTCATTTTACAGAGGAGGAAACTGAGGCAAACATCAGGTTAAGTGACTTACCCAGGGTTACACAGCTAGTTAGTGTCTGAGGCCAGATTTTGAACTGTGGTCTTCCTAACTTCAGGCCCAGCACTCTGTCCACTGCAACATGGCCTCACTGCCCTAGTCAGACAGGAGTAATTTTAGATTAAATAGCCCAATATGAGTTGGGCAGCGCAGATGTTCTAGAGTGAGTGCTTGAATTATCTAGATATTAGGAAATGTACGTACTTGAAAATATCAGTGATGGTAGAGAGAGAGAACTTGGCAGACTTTTCTTAGGAAGTGGAGGAAACAGTGTTGTCAGGGAGGGTTTTGGGGTTGAATGCCCCCTTCTTTTTCTTTCCTTTATTCTCTCCCTGATACAGGTTTCAATGAAGGCTTCAGAGGTTTGCAGGTCTATTTGAGAGGAAGCTCACAGTATTCTTGTCCCATTTCCTTGTAGGGAGCACTTCTGGTTCTGGGGTTGCGCCTTATTTCTTTATTTCCCTGACTGTTTCTCCAGGTTGCCTGCCTGGCCCCCCAGCGGGATTGTTGATCCTGAAGTATAGATGGGTCTCCACAGACTGCCAGCCCGCACAGGAGGCCCCTGGGGTGCTCTCCCTTTGCTTTGACACAGGCAGGCTCCAGCCTCCCCTTCCTGGCTTATTGCAGGTTATTTCCCTGGGTGCCAGCACACATGAGTCCGTTGGTGTTTCCCTGACTGCTGCATTCTGCTCCCCACCTGGGCCTTGCTTTGGCTTCCCTCCGCACCTGGAGGAGCCTCCTTTCTCCCCTCTGCCTCTTAGAATCTCATCTCCTTCCCCGGATCAGCTGACTGGCCGTGGCCACCCCTGGCTTGTCTTCATTTCCCCCATTTTGCTGCTAGTCTCTCCCGCTCTCATTACTTTATAATTTAAAAAAAAATTATCTCATAGTAACTTATAGGCGTGTTGAGTGTGTGGAACACAAGCTCTTTGAAGCTAACAACAAATGGTTCTTTCTCTGCCTTCAGCTCCAGTGCCTGGCATGGCACTTCACACGTGCTTGTGGAATGACTGACAGGAAGGGAATGTTCCTTTGGGCATTTTCCCCTTGGTTCTTCACTTGCTGCTTTCCACTGCGTGGGACTCAGATTTTCCATTTGAAGTCCCAGACCATTTTCCCATGGATTCTGATTAAAACCCTACTTTCTATGTGTCTGTTTTTTTCAAAAAAATGATCCAGTGCTTACTTTGGGCAGGGGTTTCTCTTCTGTCCTTTTTCCTCCTCTGGCATGGTGAAGCCCCTGAAGAGCCCTTGGTTGGAGTGTGGATGTTGAGACCTGCCTCTCTTACTCACTCACCAGGTGACCAGGCCCTCGTCCTGGACCCTCAGGGGTTTCCTCTGCTGTAAAATGGGAATGATTTCTCTAGTACCTACTTAGAGGCCTGTTTGTGGGTCAAATGAGATAATATAACATCTTTACAAAACTGAGCCACAATAGACATTTCTGTTGTTATGTTACTAATGATGTGAAGAGGAAGCCTGGTAGAATGAAAATAGTGAGGTCTTCCTTGAGCCACATCAGTGACTCCATGTGTCTGCGGGACACATGGGTGCTAGGGGAAAATATCCATGATGCTCTCCTTTCCTGTTAATTTGTTTAATACTTCCTTAAGCAAGCATTTGTTAAGCACCACATGCTGGGCACTGTGCCAGGCATTGGGGACACAAGACAGAGTGACAGGCCTGCCCTCAGACAGCTTTCTCCTCTCCTTATCTGTAGTTGATAAGCCTTCTTTTCTCGTTAAGGTCATTGTGAGGATCAGATGAAAGCCTGCTTGAAAATGCTATGTAGAGTATAAAGCTGGATCATCTGTTTGTGCAATAGTTCTTCCTCTCCCCCTTTGGCCTTGGTGCAGTGCTAGGTCCATTACTTTTGGAGGTGGTCTGGTGGTAGAACCCTGGGCTCTGGGAGTCAGAAGTTCTTGGGTTCCTCTTTGTGGGTGAGGAACAGTCTCACTACCCCTTATTTTCCTTCTCTGGCTCACAAAGGTTGTGGTGAACTGTGAAGCTCCATTTAAAAGGGAACAGACAGGCGTTTGGTGGGAGCAGCCCCTGAGATTTCTCCATAGACATCCAGAGAGTTGGTCATGGGCAGAGCAGCTCTGCCATGTTGTCATGGGAGGTCTTTCATGGACTCTGGGGCTCTTGAGGCATACTCCATAAGAGGCACCTGGGGGTGGGGCTCCTTCAGACTCCTACGTTCAGTCAGTTCCAAATTGACTCCCTCAGTTCTGGGTTAATCTAGAATACTGGGAAAGGACCACCCAACTTCTTCAGATTTCATAAAGGACCCTCACTCTAGTTTTATTGAAGACACTGAAGGGTCATTGCTAACCTTATTTGAGAGGTAAGGAAGCTGAAGCCCAAGAAATCCAAGCTGAGGGTCTGTCTAATTACATGGCATGGCTGTGACTAGACTCCCCTCTCTTGCTATTTTCCCCATAGAAAATTTCGGTGAGTCATCGGTTCATAGGAGCTCAGTTAGTTCATGATGTACCTTTATTATATTATTGTTCTAATGGCATTATACAACCAGACCACTGATTAACTTGCTTCTCTAAGAGTATGCATTCCTAGTTCCAGCTCAAGATGCTTGGGACATTTTTTCCCTCTGCTGTGAGACTGGGAACTCTGAGCTGTCCTCTGTGCCCACTCCTCCCGTGCTGTGGGATGAGAGACTTTACCTATTCAAGCCACTATTAATGGCCCTCTTGACCTGGTTTCCAGGTGTATGGGGAGAAGGTTAGGCATGAGGCCCAAGAGTATTGAGGTAAAGATCTTTGGAGTCAGCAGAACTCAGACCAGCATCAGTTGCTGGGGAGGCTTAGCCTTGGAGGTGGGCCCCCTCCCAATTAGATACAAATACAAGATGAGAAGGAGGGCTGCTACCTGGGGGGGTAAAGGGCGTGGTTCTGGGTCTTTGCATGAAAAAGGAGGAAGTACAGGAAAGCCCCAAGTGTGGGGGTTAGGGGAGGGATAAATGTAGAACAGTCTCAGATTGGGAGGTGCCCAACCCCTCATTTGACAGCAGAGGAGACCAAGGCCAGAGTGCCCCAGGTTAGTCACCCTTTGCAGCAAAGCCAGACTTGAGCACGGCTTTCCGGACGACTGCCCTTGTGACAGCTCCACTGTTGCTGCAGGTCCACCTGAAGAACACAGAGATTGAGAATACTAAGCTCATCACTGAGGTGCAGACTCTGAAGAATTTGGATGGGAACAAGGAAAGTGTGATCGCCCATTACAAAGAGGAGGTGGGCCGGCTGCAGCTCTGCGTGGCGGAGAAGGAGAACCTGCAGAGGGCCTTCCTGCTGGCAGCCCCAAGCAAAGTAAGTCACCACAGATCTGTCCTCACTGTCCATGATAGAGAGGAGATGTTGAGTGGGTAATCAGGGTCTTCACTTGCTAAACCAGTTTTCTGGACATTAAAGAAAGTTAATGTTAACAGTTCATTCAATATGGATTAATTGTAGATTTTTGTTTCTTAAAAAACAGTCTGATTGTATGATTGCATTTCATGACCCTTCTGTTTATTACATACCTAATGTTTACTAAGACACAACTTATTAGTTTTAATCAAAAGGTCTATTGCTTTCTTCTGTACATTTTAAAATATACACAAAGTAAAAATAGGATAATTGAATGTAGAGAAGTTATTGTGAGGAGCAGTTGGCTGGGTTGTACAGATCTCCTAAACATGGAGTCACACAAAAGTTCAGCACTTGGGGTTACCAGAGGCAAGTCACTAAAATCTTTGCTGGGCCTCAGTTTCCTCATCTGTAAAATCAGAATGAAGATTATTGAACTCCTTTCTTCTCAGAGTTGTGAGGAAAGTTGTTTGTAAACTGCAGTATGTAAATTTGTTATGTAATTGATAATAACACAAGGAAGAATTTTCATGACATGTTTAACCTTTTAACATTTGGTTTTTAGTTGTATCCTCATGACTTATCTTCATTTTTGTCAGTTTTCAGTCCTTTTATTTATTATTTAATAGCTTCAATTTGTAACCATTTCTCCAGTAGAAAATTTGACCAAGTTACCCATTTGTTTGCTCTTTTGTCACTCAGTCATTATTTTACTAGGGCAGCCAGGTGGCACCATAGTGCACAGAGCTCCTCCAGGCCTGGAGTCAGGAAGACTTGAGTTCAGATCTGGTCTCAGACGCTTAGTAGCTTTGTGACCCTGGGCAAGTCAATCCTGTTTGCCTCTGTTTCCTCATCTGCAATAGGAGCCGGAAAAGGGCGTGGCAGACCACTATTGTATCTTTGCCAAGAAAACCCCAGTTAGACTTAAGGTGGGCAGTCCAGAACCTGTTTTGGATCTGATTGTAACAACTTGGAAGTTGTTTCATAGACTTTTAATACAAATTGAAGGGTCTGATATTATTTAGATTTATGATAATAAAGGTGATAATAAGAGCTTAACTTAAGTTATGATGGCAATAGTTGTCTTCATTTTCTTTTTTTGTTTTTGTTTTTGGCTAGGCAATGGGGTTAAGTAACTTGCCCAGAGACACACAGCTAGTAAGTGTTATGTGTCTGAGGCCGGATTTGAACCCAGGTCCTCCTGAATCCAGGGCCGATGCTCTATCCACTGTGCCACCTAGCTGCCCCGTCTTCATTTTCTTATTGTAAAATAATAAGGAAGGATGTAAAAGAAGTGGAAAGATGAATGTATCATGGGAAGTAGAGCTTAGTACCTCAGAATCCATGAAGTCCAACCCCTTTAGGAAACTAAAAGCTCATGAGATGAAATAATCTACTTGAGGTTACATAGATAGTAAATAACAGTGGTGGTTAACTTTAGGACCACTGCTCTGAAATTCTTTTGCCCTTCGTAAAAACCTTTGGCCAAAAGTTTTTGTACTTCCAAAACAACTGCACGGTGTTCCCCATTGGCCTTTACCAGTCACACAGCTGATCGTCTAGCTGGGCTGGGGGCTCTGTTTAGAACAGGGTTTGGGCTTGAGAGACAGAGATCTTCCTGCTCCAGAGCATCATTGTAAGGACAGAGGGAGGTGATAGCTTGGAGGGGCATGGGAAGATCATTGAAAAAGAAGTTCTGTGGAGATGTGAGATGCTGGCACTGATGGCTGCCTTCCGGGCTTGTGGGTCATTTTGTTGGAATTCTAGTCCCCAGCATACAGTGGGCATAGAATGGAGGAATGGATAGACGCGTGACTAGGTGCTTCCTTAGGCAGTTTTTCATTTTGCCAACTTGGGCATCTGGAATTACAGCCCGGGGAAAAGCATCCAAGAGCCAGAGCCCTGGCTCTGTGGTTAGTGGACTTGATTCAGGCCTTGCTTCTCTTGGGGGTCTTGTGTGAAATGTGGTGGTTGGGCTAGGTGCCCTCTGCGATTCCCCCCAGCTCCCAAACTATCACTCCGTGCTTTCTGCGGATGGGGAGGGCATCGGGGCCTTATTTTCTCAGACATTTTAAAGCTTTTGCTTTCTTAAGAGTGAGAAAAGTTATCATGTTTGAAGCCGACGTGTTGGTGCTACCTTCTGTGCCACATTACCATGGAGGTTAAGAGCTGGTGTGTTTTGTTGTTAGGAATAGAAGGTTTGGCAAGAAGTGTGGGGGGGGGGCGTGGTGGTTGATAGAGATTGGGAGACTTGAGAGATTTTTTTTATGTAGACACTTATGGATCATTTTTATTTTTATTTTTTTCAGGAAGATGCTGCATATCTAAAAGAGCAACTTCGCAAAGCGGAGGAGCAGGTCCAAGCTACTCGACAAGAAGCTGTGTTTCTGGCCAAAGAGCTGAGTGATGCAGTCAATGTGAGGGATCAGACCATGGCTGATCTCCATAGTGCCCGGCTAGAAAACGAGCAAGTCAAAAAACAGCTGGCAGAGGCCATGGCCGAGCTGAGAGTTGCTGTTGTGAAAAAGCAACAGGTCAGTCAGCCAACTTTATTTTGAATATACCTGGAGAGTTCGTGCTGCTCACAGAATATTTTCAAAGCTTGAAAAAGAGATACGCTATTCTCATAACGTAGATCAGGGTTTAGGTCACAGCGTTCTCTATTTTCAGTCTTAGTTCATCGAACTGTTTTCCTTTTCCTTGAAAGTAATTTCGTGGTAAGCTAATAGTATTTTCAGCATATTCTTAATGGTTCTGTCTGGTTCTGTTTTTGAATTGGGTTTTTCAAGGGAAAGATTATAATTTTTGTTGGAAATTTCCTGAAACCTGTTTACATTATTTAGAGTTAGGAATGTTGTAGGCAGAAATTCCTGGGGAAAAGGTTTCTTGGCTCACCTGTGGTTTTTAGTGAATATGTGCTTCTGAGACGACTTTATCATGACATTCTGTGTATGTTCCTTTGTGTAATGATTTCAAAAAATATATCCTCTAGAGAACAAATGTGTTTCCAAAGCAGGTATCTAGGCTGTTTGTTTCTAAACCTGTTTTTACTAACATGTCCTTCTTTTTAAAGGAGAAGACAGATCTAGTTGAGCAGGAGCTGCGCAGAGAGGTGGAAGACTTGAAGCTTCGCCTGCAGATGGCTGCAGACCATTACCGGGAGAAATTCAGGGAGTGCCAGAGGCTTCAGAAGCAAGTGACCCGGCTGTCCGAGCAGGCTGTGAGTAGCTCTGACAGCAAGGCTCCCGAAGGATTTCCTTCAGGCCTTGTTGATGATCGCTGATAAAAGCATGTGATAACCAGTACGAATAGTAAACATCATGCGAGCTGTGCTATGCCTGCATGTTTTCTGGGACTGGGGGGATTTTTCTTTCCTTTTTTTTGCTTGATACCTGGTACCTGGGATTCCAGATGGATGAGACTTCCTCGTATTACAGATGAGGAATCTGAGGCCCACAGAGGGAAAGTAACTTGCCTAAGGTTGTTCAGGCCTGGGGTATAGATTTCTGCCTCTACCCCTCGTGCTTTTTCCTCTTATGCTGTGATGAGGAAATTGTCTCCTGAACCTGTCAGGCCTGGTCTGGAGTTGGGTCTCAGGGCAGCTTGTCCATGCGTAGCCAGCCAAGGTGGCAGGGCTGCAGTGGCAGAAAGTTGGGGCAGCGTGCACAGCTGTGGCTCTTCTGTTCCTGATGCCTCAGAGCTCGGGGTGTAGCCTCTTGGTCCCTGTTCCCGTGGCATTGTGAGGCAGAGTTCTCGAGGGAAGTGCACCTGCAGATTGGGAGTTCCACCTGTGAAGCAGTGTCCTGCGTCATCGGTTACCAGTTTCCTTTTGTCATGTTGCAAGTCATCATTATGAAGGAAAACAGGGATTTGGGCTGAAGAGACACTGAGGAAAGTGGAAGAATACAGAAGAGGTCATTAGGGAAAGAATGTTAAAGACTTTGCATGATTTCTACTTTGTAAGGTGTTGGGGCCTGTCATTGAGAAGCTTAGGAGGTGCAGTGTTGGTTTCCAGAGGGAGGTCTGTAAGGAGCTCTGGTGACCAGAGGAGTGATTTATAAGAGAGACTTACTTCTCTGCTTGATAAAGTGTGTGCAGTGAAGTACAGTATCAACTGACAGCCCCTTTGTTAATCTTGTGGCATTATCTTTGCTAATCCTCTTGCTACAGTTTTTTTTTAAATTTTTCTTGTAATTATTAAAGTAATTAAATTCTAAGAATTCCTTCACTTACCAGATTGCTTCATGCAAAAATCTCTTTAAATGATTGCATGTATATTTTCAGTGATTTTAAAGCATTTGACAATTGTTAAGATACTGGCTAGACTACTAATAAAGATCTGTCTTTTCATAAAGAAAACTGGGAACCAACAGAAAGTGACGGATGCCTCAAGCAACACAGAGACAGCGGCTAGCTCTCCTTTTGACATCAAACTGGCAGCTGCTACAGGTATCCTTAACCGTCAAATTTTTATGGATTATCTTAGGCTTGAAAATAGCATCTATCTGGAACAACATAGCAGAGTCAGATAATCGAGATAATCGTTAGAGCAGAAGGCAAAAGGATTAACATGGAATGATAGAGGGTATAACTCTGTCAGCTCTGGCCTAGCCCATTTAAATCGGCTGTTGATATTAGAAGGGAAATGGGTCAAAAGAGATATCACCACAGTCAGTCAGTCTTTCTGAGGAGGCTTAGCCAGTCACCCCCAGGAGAAGGCCAAGGGAACCTAGAGAATGCCTCATCTCCTTGCTAAGCAGTGAGACGTGGTAGTTGGGTTGTCATTGGGCTTCTGGCTTGAAAAGTATAAAAACCCAAACCCAAAACACTTGCTTTGGTGGAAGAGGATGTGGCCTTCGGTGGTTGTCTTCCAAGAACATGTCTTCCGTTTGTCTGTTACTGTTACATAATCTTAAACGATGAAACAATATAGTTGGACCCTCTAATTATTAATAAGAAGTGAGGCTCTAAACTGAGTGGTGTGTGCTCGCTCAGGCTCTTTGCTGCTGTCCTGGCAGATATCCAGCAGAGCCAAACACAAGAGGCATTCCCTAAAGAGTGTAGCGTGGATGAGAGCCACCACGATTAAAAGCATATGGCCTAACTACCTACACTGGGAGTCAGCCAGGTGGTACAGTGGATGGAGGGCCATGCCTGGGGTCAGGAAGACCTGGGATCAAATCCGGCCTGCTGGCTGTGCGAGTCTAGGCAAGTCACTTCACCCTGCTTGTCCGAGTTTCCTCATCTGTGAAATGAGCTGGAGAAGGAAATGGCAAGTCACTCCAGGATTTTGGCCAAGTAGACCCCAGAGGGGTCCCAAAGAGTCAGACACGCTGAAATGATTCCATGACGACAAAAATAGTTCACACAGGAAGACAAGACTGGCTGGCAGTATCTATGGCCAGGCTTTTGTGTGTGCTAGGATGGACACCTCTTAGAACTGGTCCATCGGTGCATAATCGTGGGTGTGCGTGGCACATAGTAAATAAAGTGGGCTCAAAATTGTGGAAGGAGGTAGGTGGTGGGCTTGATTACCTTGGGAAATTGTGCATTGCAAGCTTTTCCTTGATACAAAGGCTCTTTTTTTCTCTTTAAAAATAATTTTTTGCTGCTATCTTATGTTTTAATACCACCAAGATTTTTCAGTGTAACCCCTCGTTTGCCCTCCACAGAGCTATCTCTTATAGCAAGCATTGACGAAGGCGGAGTGGGTGGGGATAGTTCAGCAAAACCATCCAACCTGATGAAAAAACCTGCCTTTGCTTCTCTTGGGGTCAGATTTGGTTAGTGTAATTTTGTGGGGTTCAGTTTTAATTGCTTTCTTGCTTCTGTTCTTTCCCTCTACATTACTGTGCTTATCGGAGATGTTGTTTTCCTGGTCCTCTCACGTGGTTCTGTGTTCATAACATTACTCATTTCTAAGTTCTTTTGTTTTTTTTTTGGTTAGGCAGTGGGGTTAAATGGCTTGCCCAGGGTCCCAACATTGCACATTTCTTGTGGCCTAGGGACACTCCATAACACTAGCGGGTCACAGCATGTTGGGCCCTGCCCCAGGCAGGGGGCAGTTACTTTGGTTCCAGTTTTTTGCTACTGCACAGAATGTTGCTCTAAATATTTTTATTTCTGTTGAGAATGTCAGTATTCTTTTGGTGTGATGGTAATGAAAGGCCACAGTCTCTAATGAACCAGTTTCCAGCCACCCAGAGAACAGCAGCTAATGGGTGGTGGGCATGAATAGGCTGAGACATTGTCAGGAAGACACGTGCAGGGGAAGCCATGCAAAGGATTTTATGAGAGAAATACCTAGAACCCATCCGTTCATGTGAGAAGAACAGCGCCAAGGTCTGGCCCCTTGTGCCGTCCTCGTCAGCGCCTGTGCGTAGATCTAGAATAAGGTCTTCTGAGGAGGGGGATCCTGCTGGAGAACAGTTATGGGAGGAGGGCTACAGCAGTCTAGAGCCTGAGCAGGCACGGATGGGGGCCTGATGTGTGTCCTGTCAGGGAGGATCGACATGAAGAGGACCCCCAGCCAGTGACGTGGGAAGTACCTTTGTAAGGACAGTACTTCAGGAGCCCAAACAGTGCAGGAGAACAAAGGCTACATTGTTTCAAAGTCAAACTGAGTTTTAGTGAAGATGATGCATCAGGATTCTGCTTTGTGAGACTTGAAGGTGAACTGTCTTTAAAGTGATGGGGGTGGGCAGAGGCAGCGCACTTGTTACCTTTGGCAGTGGGCTAACTTTTGTCCACCTGCACTGTGCTTTGTGAACTTTGGAAGTGAGATGGGAGATTTCTCATCAACACTTTTACGTTTGTTTTTAATAGTTGGACATGCTGCGTCTGAGATGATTTCTGAGGTGGTGACAAAGGGCCAAGTTTGTGAAATGACCAAAGAAATTGCTGAGAAGACAGAAAAGTACAAGAAATGTAAACAACTGCTCTTGGTAAGTTAGTGGCTTTGAGAAGCTGAACCAGAAGCCAGGTATGGAGGTGCTTCCAGGCGCTTCTTCTCTCCCTCCCCTGAGGTCCGGCTGATGCAAGCTGCTCTTCTTGCTGAACATGGGCCGTTATTGAGCCTTAGGCCTCCTAGAGGAGGAGGCTGCAGTGCCCATGCTGGTCAGCGCTTCTCTGCCTCTGGTGGAGCCTGAGGAGGCCGGTGACTCTGTGTGTGTCAGAGTGGGCACAGACCGAGGGTTTCCTGGCCCTGAGCCTGACTTCTCGTCACCACGTGAGGTCCCATTCAGCCTCATTTGTTTTTCTTTTAAAAAATGATGTGATGGAGCTTTAAAGAGACACAGAATGTTTCCAGTTCCTAGATGGTTTTTGGAAGACAAGTTGATTCTTGGTAGCAGTAATAATTCTCACTGATTTAGCGCTTTTCTGTTTTATACATTTTACTTTAAGCACCTCCGTGACATAGGTAATGCAAGGATTTCTTCCCACTTTCCAGATGAAGCAGCTGAGCCTCTGAAAGATTAGGATTTGCCCACAATGACCAATTTAATAAGTGTGTGAGGCAGAGTTTGAACCCAAGTCTCACACTATTCCCATTATGCTGGGTTGCTCTGATCATAAAACAAGTGAAATCACCGTGTTTTGTTTTTCCCTCAACGAAGATTACTTTCTCAGGTATAGAAGAGTTGGCACTAGACTTGGAGTCAGGAGGCTTTGGGTTCAAATTCCACTTTTGCTGTTACTATCTGTGTGACCTTGGGCATGCATTTAACTGCTCTGAGTTGCAGCCTCCCCACTTGAAAATGATTGGATTTGGTTGCATTTGGTGTCCTTTGAAGTCCCAGCTAGCTCTCAATCTGTGGATCTGCTATAAACATTTGCTTTTACTTTCAGTTCCAGTTTTTTTCCCTCTTTCTATCTTTTGCCTACCTGTTGAGAAGTTAAGAAATACAATACCCATTGCACATAAAAAGTCATGCAAAAAATTTCAGAATTAGCCATGTTCTGGAGAGAAAAGAAAAATAAAGGGGAAAATGGTTCAGTCTGCACTCTGAATCCATCGGCTCTCTCTCTGGAGATAGATAGCATTTTTGATCCAGTCCTTTGGAGTTGTGGCGGATCATTGTAGTGATCAGAGTAGCTAAATCTTTTCACAGTTGAGTATCGTTACAGTACAGCTGTTACTGTGCACAATGTTCTCCTGGTTCTGCTCATTTCTTTTTTTTTCTTTTTTTTTCTTTTTTTTTTGGTGAGGCAGTTGGGGTTAAGTGACTTGCCCAGGGTCACAGAGCTAGTAAGTGTCAAGTGTCTAAGGTCGGATTTGAATTCAGGTCCTCCTGACTCCAAGGCTGAAGCTCTATCCACTGTGCCACCTAGCTGCCCTTGCTCACTTCATTTTGCATTGGTTCACGTAAATCCTCCCATGATAACGACATTTATTTTGGAAGCTGGGCTAATGATATTTCCACTTACCTTACTGCTACTTTTCATATAAATGAAATGCTTTCATTTTAGAAGAGGACATTTTCCAGTACAAAGTGGTTGTGCAGAATTCATCAGCGAGTGACCCCGTTTGCAGAATGAGAAAGGTGGCGGCCGGCTGTCAGTTGATGCTGTAGCATCCTACGCTTATCTTTTGGATCATGCAGAACGTTTTAGTTTTGCTACCTTCCCAACAATCCACCAGCTTGGATTCATTGGGTGTGCTTCATTGTGATAGAAGGAGGCTTCGTTTTTTCCCTTCTCCGTTGCCATAGAAAAAGGGGGTCAGATTTGAGAACAACAGAAAGTGTTTCTATGCATATCAAGAGGATGTGGTCCTTGAATTTATGTGGTCACACTCATATGACCACATATGACCAGCCAGTGGGGCCCACATTAATGCCATGTTTCTGTAATAGTTCAATTAAGATGCAGTTTTATCATATGAGAAGTAGCATGGTCTGATGGATAGTGGTTGAAATCGGCCCTGCCTTTGACGCATCCTGTGTGCCCCAGGCAGATCACCAGACCTCTCAGTGCCCCGGGGAAGTGTCTAAGACAACACCTTACTAGAAACAGTTGCTTCCCTTGATGAAGTCCCTGATCTTTCCTCTCCACCCCCACCACAGCGACCACTTTAGAATGATGCCTTTAGGAGGGAGTCAGCTGATCTGGTCCTGAGAGTTTCACTCCACTCAGGAGCCACACTGGACACTTCCTTCTCCTTTGGAGAATTTAGATTTGAGAATCACTCTCAGCGCCTTGGTCCGTTGAGGTGTTGAAAGGGAGTTACGATGCTCCCTTGAGTAGAGAACTCGTTTAGATGGTACACTGTGTCTTGGGAACACTCGGAGGTGCATTGGAGACTGGTCAGCTACCCGGGTAGGCTGAACCAGAGGGTAAGTGACCCGTCTGTAAACCAGCCTTTTCTGTGTACTTGGCTGGTGGGTGGGTTGTTTGTTTTTTGCCTTAAATATAGGCATAATTGGGCAGAATAATTACTTTGTTCAGATAATTTGAACTGTATGAGTGAATAACCAAACTCAAAATGGTCTGTGTCTTGTAGGATGAGAGGGCCAGATGTAGCAGCTATGCTGACGAGCTGGCCAGATTGGAGCTGAAGTGGAAGGAGCAGGTGAAAATCAGTGAGGAAGCAAAGCTGCGCCTGGCGGAGGTGGAGGACCAGTATCAGGTCAGTGGGGCCCTTGTTTTGTTGCTTGTTAATAGTATATTTAGTACTGATCTATCTATCTATCTATCTATCTATCTATCTATCTATCTGTCTGTCTGTCTGTCTGTCTGTCTGTCTGTCTGTCTGTCTGTCTATCTGTCTATCTGTCTGTCTGTCTGTCTGTCCGTCCAACCTGTATGGCCCAGAAAGTCTTACCCTGTACACCTAGACCTGAGTCACAGCGGGGAGAATGACTGGGTATTGCCAGCTTCTTTGTGCTAAGGCTGAACATCAGTATCCTGTAGCTCGCTGTACTATTAGGAAACGTGGGTGTTCCTTCCGTTTCTTACAGAGCTTTGTGCTTAGGGGCATCTGGCCAGTACCTTTTACAGGGAGTCTCAAAATGCTTTGTGCGATTTTCAGCTTTGATTACTCATGGTGGCTTGGAGACCTTTGGGACATCTTGGATGTCCAGGGTCAGTCTGTCCCCTGGGTACCTGTTTCATACATGGCCGCTACTTGGATCACAAATTACATAGTAAAAAATATATATATTATCTGAATTTAATTCCTCACAATTCCACTTCTTTTTTTTTTTTCCAGTCAGGCAATGGGGTTAAATGACTTGCCCAGGTTCACACAGCTAGTAAGTGTTATGTGTCTGAGGCTGGATTTGAACTCAGGTCCTTCTGAATCCAGGGCCGGTGCTCTATCCACTGTGCCACTTAGCTGCCCCCTCACAATTCCACTTCTAAGAGAGTCTGTGCTTATGACTACCATCTTGAGCTAATTATAATCAAACTGCAAATAGACAAATACATCCCTATCAATTGATTCCCTAAAGGAAATAAGTTATAATCTTATAATTTTAAGTATTTCAGGTTTTTTTTGTTTTTTGCATGAGTATTCTCTGTGTGAAGACAAGAAGTATTTGATGCAGTATTTGTCATATATACACTATATGACAAATTGAAGTGTAGTTGAATTTATGGTTAAATGTTAGGAAAGATTTCAATATTGTCTTAAGGACCTCCTGTTTATTACAAACTTGGCCATTTTAACTGTTCTCTTTACTTTCAATTATGAAATTGTAGAAATTTGATGAAGCCATCATTGAGCATTTTGTATTGAACCTGTATCATTGAGCATTTTGTATTGAACCTGTATCTGTTTTTCAGACTGGTAGCTAACTTCTTGTGAAATTATTCAGCTAGAAAGTGTTATGTGTCTAAGGTTGGATTTGAACTCAGGTCCTCCTGAGTCCAGGGCCAGTCCTCTGTCCACTGTACCACCTAGCTGCCCCTCTGCACCACCTAGCTGCCCCTTCCACTGTGCCATCTTACTGTTAGGCTTTTTGGTAATCTGGAGTGAAATCGTATAGCTCTGAACTTGTATTTTTTCAGTGGAAATTGAAGGGATAGATTGCTCAGATGTGTGAAGAAAGAATGAATTTAATTATGCAGATTGGATGGGGAGGGGGAGGCACCAGAAGAATTTGCCTTGCATGGTGGTGGCCTCCACCAATCTAACAGAGAGGAGGCAAGTTAAGACTAAGGGTTTATTTAAGACAGTAAATCGGAGGATGATGAATCACTTTTAGGTGCTATGAGTGTGAAGTCTTGGTGGGACATCAGTGGCTAGCAGATGGTTCAGAAAGCGTAACTGCTACTTGGTGCAGAAATCAGGATGGGAGACTCGTGTTTACATGCATAATTGCATCATCTGAAAGGAGTACAGAATTGAAGTTGTGGGAGTAGATGAGATCAGCAGGGGAGAGAGGAGAAGGCAGGCTGTGGACGCTGAATTGGAAATCGCTCACGAAGAGAAGGAAGGGAACAGGAAGGAGATCTTTGGAGACTCGAGGGAGGAATTGATTGTGTAGATTGCCAAGATTGTCAAGGAGAGGAGAAAAACTTGAAAAGCCCTTGGATTTGGCAATGAGGAAGTTATTGATAACCTTCAAGAGTAATTTCAGTAGAAGAATGTGGGTGGAATTATAGGATGAGTTGGGTGTGCTGAACGCTGTTCTTTAAATGAGTTAATGCTGACTTTTTGTACAGGTTCAGTTGTTGCAGAAAGAACAAGAAATAAATGATCAGACCTTACATTTGGAAAGTCTTATGAGGGAGAAGGAGGAGAAGGTAGGAAGAGCTTTTTCAGATTCATTGCTGGTAGAGTAAGATTGTGTTAGAAGACCTGTGTATTTCAGAATACAGGTTGAAAAAAGGAAATGATATGTAATAGTCACTGTGAAACAGCTTCTGTCTTGTGATGATTACCTTGCTCACGGTGGCATCTTTTAAAGTAATCTAGTGTATAGCCGTGGTGGTGTGTAAGGATTTGCTTTTTCTTTGATAACAGGCAGCATCTTTAGAGGAAGTGTGGTGGCATTTAATTACAGCTCTGTCTCTCATTCAGCTCTAGCCTAGGTCAAGTGAGCAGTAAAACATGATAGAAAGGAGTTGTTATCCCTCTAGAGACAATGAAATAAGGGGGTGGAGGAAAAGCTCAAAGCTTTGTGGCATGTAGTAATAGAGAGACAGAAGAAATGCATAGGTTTGAAGAGACTGCAGAGGGAAGGGCTTGAGGGTACCCTCACTTTTTATAATTGAGGCAAACAAACACTACTAATAGAATATAATGGAATAACATTTGCTGTTATAGTCATCCATTTACATAGGGGCTCCAGCATATAGCAGATTGCCTTGCATCTTCCTTATGATTGTGTAAAACATTCATAGATACTTACGTTACAGGGCTGATACCCTGTGACTGTTGTACTAATTTTGTATGCTCTTTCAAAAATGATTTCAGGTGCTTATCATGTTAAGAAAAATGGCTTAATTAGGATGAATAAAAAGCAAAGGGACAGAATTGTATTTAGTGTACGATAAACTTGTTCAGAATTGAACTTTGTCTTAGTGATCACAAGTTGAGTGTGATTTTTGCTTTAAAGTGTGATACGCTTATAGTTTGCTGAGGTAAGTAGTGAGAATGAAATCCGTTTTTTCTGATTGAATTAAATCTTTAGCAAAATTACCCTATCAAATAAAACAGCAGTGCTGGAAATCTTGGAAATCCTTGTGATTTGTTGTTCTTCTTAGAGAAAAGTTACATTTAAACTAGGATGAAATACAAAAACATTTTGGTCATGTCATAACAGCTCTCACCAAAGCAACAGGCATTTCAGTCAATTTACGTAATTAAAACAATAAGCTGACAGAAGTTTTCCATGTTTAATAGGAAATGTGGATATTTAAAAATTATATGTATATGCACAGAGATGCACATTTTTGACATTTTAATTGTCTTAGTGTTTGGAGATGAGTGAGTTGCTTTGTCCATATCATGAAACAAAAAGGATAGACTTTCTCAGTCTGGTTAACCATGGTAAATTTGAAATGTTGGATGTACACTTCTCTCATTTTTACCTCTTTCTTATTTACTCATAGAGTGCAAGATAAACACAAGTTTTTCCCCTTAGTTCCCAAAAAATTTCTTACAGTATGAAGGAAAAATACTGATTCTCTACTTTCCAAAAACATTGAATGCTGATTATTCTTTAATCCTTTCTGATAAATTCATTCTAGGGGTGTGATTTTGTTTAAAAGCTCATTGAGAATCTGTAATTGGTATTATTGAAAGGTAGAAGTGCTCCGAAGCCACAAAGTCGGTACTGTTAATACAACTTCTGTTCAGAGGTTGAATGGATATATGGCTTCAAATTCTGAGTGAATTGAAGTGATAATTCCTTTCCATGATTTCATCTTTTGAGTATTAACGTTTTGAATTGAACTTAGTCCTCAGATCTATAAAGATTATTTAAAAAATCCTTATGTATTTTCCTTTTAATTTCAAGCATTTTTGAAACATAAGCTATCTAATTTTAAAATGTCTTTTAAAATCCATTATCTACTGATTTTCACTTTCCTCTTGTTGTCCATATGCCATTTTTTGCTATCTTTGGTCAAGCCTTTCCTGTTAGATTGCTAGTTTTCAAAGAAGGTAATTTAAAAACTTAGTGTAATCTTTAGAGTGATAACAGCTGATCCTTCAGAGAGCACTTGGTAGTTTACAAAGCCCTTTGTGCATAACCCTTTGGGGTCAGTTGTATGAACATGAGCTTCCCAGTTTTAGAGGAGTCCTTGCTGGTCGTGCATCTGGTCTGCTCTGGCATGGCCTGCCCCTTCGACGTCTTTGAGGCTTACCTTCACCTGCGGCCGCCTTGTCCTTCTCCCGAGGACTCCTCGTAACAAGCAGTATAGCCACACGTAACAAGCACGGCATCTGTCGGGGCGCAGCTGCCGACCACTCCCCGGCATGGCTGCCCCAGCTCACAACTCCACCAAGGCTGGGCTGCTTTGCTGCTCTTACCATAGCCCCACCATCAGACGCCATTTAACTTTTCCTCATCTTTGTCTGGTTGATTTTGTGTGGGGAGGAATGCCAGAATTGTTTTCATTTGCGTTGCTCTTACCAGGGATTTGGGATCCATTTTTTGTACAGTTGTTGATAGCTTCCTTCTTTTCAGAACTGCCTATCCCGGTGCTCTGGCTGTTTATCTCTTTTAGGTCACTTTATGGGTATCACATGTGAATCCTGAATCCTCACCATATATTTCTTCTTTGCCCTTTGTGCTGTACACGATAACTGATTTTTAGAAGAGTATAGGGTTATATATTTAGAGCTAAAAGGGACATTCCAGGCCATCAAATCTCTCCTTTCCTCCTCCCTACCCCATTTTACAGATGAGGAAACTGGCACAGAGGTTAGGTGATTTGTCCAGGTTCACAGACTTAGTAAAAGCCTGACCCATTATTTCACTTAAGATTTGCAGCCATATAGTATTAGTGGGAACTCCACCAGATCTTGGATCATGGTCTGGGCCCAAAATTCAAATAGAGGAGGGGCTAGATTGCATTTGGAAAATCATGTGATGCTTTTAGGACAGTTCCAAGTTGCTCTCAACAGCAAAATCACATGTAATCAATCCGCAAGTATTGATTAAACACCTCCTGTTTGTCAGGCACTGAGGATACAAATGTAGAGAATGGAACACCCTTACATTGTAACAGAAGAGACAAAAAATGCTTGTGTAAGTATCACCACTGGCACTGGACACTGTTATAAGAAAGTCCCCTCCACAGCAGCAGGTTGGCACGTTCCCTACAGTTTGTAATCTTTAAGAGGTGCCTGGAACACTCAGAATAAGGCTTACTGTGAGCCATGCAGCCAACATGGGTACAAGGCAGGATGTGAAATTGGATTATTCCTGGCTGGATCAGCTCTCTCTGCGACACCAGCTTGGTGACCATAGCCATAGATCTAACAGTAACAGCAACAATAACAGTAGTAGTGATGAGTGTTGTTTTTCAGTCATGTCTGACTGTCCGTGATCCTGTTTGAAGTTTTCTTGGCAAAAACACCGAAGTGGTTTGTCATTTCCTTCTCCAGTTCATTTCGCAGATGAGGAAACTGAGGCAGACAGCTAGTGAGTGTCTGTGGCTGGATTTGAACTCAGGAAGATGAGTCTTTCTGACCCCTGTGCTCTATCCACCGTGCCTCCTAGATGCCCTAAATAGTGATGATAGCTAGCATTAATGTAGTACTTTATCTCATTTGAACCTCACATCAGCCTTTTAAAGTAAGTACTATTACACAAACAGATCTCAGTGCACAGAACATTAGGATTCACATCCACCCTCAGATATTTACTTAGCTGTGTGACTTTGGGCAAGTTACTTAACCTCTGTCTGCCTCCGTTTCCTCAGCTGTAAAATGGGGATATTGATAGCACCTTCCTCCCAGGGTTGTTGTGAAGATCAAATGAGCTGTTTGTAAAGCACTTAGCACGGTGCCTGGCACATAGTAGACCCTTAATTTCAGAAGTAAGTAGCTACAAGGTATTTTGGGGGGGGAGGGCACCAGCCTTTGGGGGAAAGGTAGTGTTTGAACTGTGCTTCAGAACAAGAGAGGAGTTTTATGAGGTGGAGGTGAAAGTAATTTGGGCAAGAGCCTGTCTGTTGTAACTCAGGCAAATATAAGTTGCATTTTCAAAACACGTCCCCTGTGGCCATTGTTGTGCATACCGTATTTGTTTGATGCTGTCGTATCCATAAAATACTTGGTTCCTTATAGTTTTTTGTTGTTGATTTTTAGGAGCTTAAAAGGAGACTTGAAAGTCAAGCCGAGAGAGTCACGGAAGGTCAGAGTGCCCAGCAGTCCCAAGTGAGCGGCACTTCCACAGAGCACAGTGGTCCTGTGCCTTCAGTGCCAAATAGGAGACCAGTGCTGCAGTTTGGAAATCCCTATGCAGCCCAGGACATAAGAGGTTTGTTTGGAAAGAGTTCTAGTTTTGAGTTAAGCCGGGGTATAATGGACCCTGTGTATTTCAAGTGTGTGAAAGGTAGGGGAAATACATGATATTCTTTTGTGGGTAAACAATGGGGAGAAATGTCAGTTTTTAGAAATTAAATAACTTATTTCTGGGTGGTGGAAAGAACTCTGGACTAGGAGTCAGCAGAGATTTGAATGAGAATCCTGCTTCTGACAATTACTAATTGTGTGAGCTTGGGCAAGTCACCAAATGCCTGAGTGTCAGTTTCTTCATCTGAACAATGGGAAAAACAATACATGTGGTAATCATCTCACTGTTACTAGACTGGGTTATGGTGAAGATATTAAGTAACATTTAGAATGTTCTGTAACCCTTAAAGCACTATTTAAATTCCAGTCATTTAAAAAACAACCTTGATTTCAAACAATTTGGGGGATACCTAAACTATTTGACATCTAAATTTTGTTGTTGTTGGGTTTTTTTTAGGCAATTGTTAAGTGACTTGCCCAGGGTCACACAGCTAGTAAGTGTCAAGTGTTTGGTTTGAGGCCGGATCTGAATTCAGGGCCAGTGCTCTATCCACTGCGGCACCTAGCTGCCCCTGACATCTAAATTTTGATAGAGATTTATCGAACCTATAAGTTTCACTGTTCTTTTATGTTTTTTATTTCAGATGGAGCAGATGGCGCTTTTTATCCAGATGAAATCCAAAGGCCACCTGTCAGAATGTTCTTGTGGGAATTGGAAGACAACGTAGTCTGTAGCCAGCCTGCTCGCAATCTTAGTCGGCCTGATGGTTTAGAAGACCCTGAAGATAGCAATGTAAACTGAATTTCTCTTTTTCTTTGCCTAACGTGTTTATTTGAGTATTATACATATATGGCCACTAAATGAGTTAGAGAGTCAGTTATAAAATGCTTCAGAACCGTTTTCTTATTCTGTAGGATTTTCATGAAAGTAATAGGTAAACGTAACAAACATCACGTAGGTTTTAGGTTGACGTAATGAGAGGCAGCATAAAGTAGTACAAAGAGCGTTGGGTTTGGAGTCAGAAGTCCTGGGTTCAAATGCTGTAAGTCACATCATGCTCTTTATGGGCCTTGGTCTCCTCATGTGTAAAACGAGGTGACATTGGACTGGATGGTTGGCTGAGGTGACCTCCCAGGGCCCGTCAGCTCAAAATGTAGGATCCTGTGGTCCTGTTTAAATGGGAGTTAATCAGTCTGAAGTGTTTTTATTCAAAAAAAATTAATACGTGCCAAGTTAGTGAGTAGGAACCTTTGTTTTCAAAATAGCCTTGCTAGACTGGAGGGAGACATGTTGCAGATTCTGTTTATTTCTTTGTCTGCTTGAAACTTAAAGGATTTGAATTATATTAGCGTTCCCTAGAAAAGCCTCAAGCGTGAGTGTTACCGTGTGAGCTTCCTTTTTGGGAAGACGTTCCTCCTTCTGCTTAATGTCGCCTCCCTTGTACGCTGGCAGGAAGACAAGGGAAGACAAGGACGAGCACAGCACTGGCTCGTGGAACACGTCATCAGAGTCTTTGATTGTACTGAAGGGGTTTCTTGACCATTTACTAAATAAGTTTGTTTCTTTCTCGTTGCACTTTCTTGATAAGCTGTGGTCTAAGACGGATTGAAAAGAATGACTTTATTGTGCTCTTTGCAAGAACAGGAGTATCATGACCTGCTTCTCATTTAATCTAGTTTGCTGCATTTCATTGCTATTAACCTTTGCGGAAGCTGATCAGTGTTCAGACAGGCATGATTTTAGCCCTGGTGCTCAGCACCCATAATGGGGAAAAATGTATTTCTCCCTTCTGCCTTTTGCCCTCCTGTGTCCATTGCTGGGAATAATTAGGAAAGCTGTCAGAACTTTTGCAGCCTATTTGAGGTCTGGAGTATTATCGTACTGCTTTTTCCCACCTTTACTCCCCATTTTGCATATCTAATCTGATCATTTGTGGTGGCTCCGACATTACCTGTGACAAGCCCTTCTCTTCCTTAGTCATCTGCTTCAGTTTAATTAGCAGAGAGGTCCTCCCCCCACCTTTTTTTTTGAATCTATGTGCTTTGCCCTCCTGCAAACCTGTGAGAAGCAGTGTTAGAGTCTTGTGCTCATTTGCTGACACACTGAGATTGGGTAATGAGATGGAAAGACTTGGATCTGCTGGAAGAGGAAGTAACCTGGGATTGCTCTTTCTCCATTCAGATTCGTTGCCCCAGACAGAAACCAGTTCATATAAACCGTCACAGATTTTTAGCTTTAAATTTTATGGCAGTTGGAAATGAAAGTCAGACAGGGGCACACTTCCAAAGTGTAATTTTAATTTCTGCACATTAAAAGAAGACTTAAATGAATGACAGCACAAGAATTCCTAATCAAATGATTGTTAAAGGTAAATTAGACTAAGTGGCAGATCAGTGTTAGTGAAGAAATAGCTCTGGTAGGTGGCTGGAGGGGGGAGGCATCAAATAAACTCAGAGGAATAGTGAGTCCGGATGAAGCAGGCCACCCTGAAGCTAGCACAGAGGCAATGTGGGCAGAGATCTTGAAAAGTGGCTCAGTTTAGTTTTTACTATTTCAGGGATTTTGTCTTCCATTATATAGTTACCATTTTAAGTTTACTTTAATAATATCTTCCTATCTTGGTAAGTCACCAAATGTGACTTTTCATAGAAACTTACCCACGGCAAATATGATACTCTTTATTATTAATGTGAGAGAGAAATCCATTCAAGTTTGGGGGGGGGGCAATGCAGCGGAGATTAGTGGGGATAATTAATGCAGGCTAGAATAGTTCATTCATGTAATAGGTTTCCAGGACCATTCAGTATAACTCTGTGAGCCAGGTATAATAGATATTATTCCCATTTTATTTATTAGAAAATTGAGACTGTAAATGGGAAGTGGTTTTGCCTATGATTGCACTGATGGTTTCTGAAGTGGAACCTGAAGGCCAGGAGAGCCCTCTATCTCTTTGACTTAGAGGGACACAATCAGTGACGTCGCAGCCCAGGACAGACACGGCTGCTGAGAGGTGCGGGGAGTTACGAATGTCCCGTCCATCAGGCTTTGATTCTAGGACTGGGATATTAGAGGAAATGAAAAACAAGGTGATCGGAGTTTTCTAGCATGAACAGAAATGGTGATACTTTAAGAAGCTGGTTCCTCACCAGAACTCTGCTTTATACTCCTTTCTTCTCTTTGATCTAACTGGTATGATTTCATTTGTAGTCTCTTATGTTGGCAAATTAATCCTTGAAAAATAAAGATAAATTCATACTATCAGCAGTAAGCATAGAGGGAAACTTCAGACAAAAGTCTGGATAAAACTTTTGATCCAGTAAAATAGGGTACTTAAACATTTTTCTGAAGTATTTTCTACAGTGAACTTCTATGGAGCACATTTATAGACTATTCTTTTAAAACATTCAGAGAACTCTATTCATTATTATTTTGCTATCACAATTTAAAATCCAAGAAATTGCTGCATAAGTGGGGAATAAGATCTTAGGATATCAGGTGGTTGTATCTTTTGGCTATCCCTAGTGCTTTACATTGGGCCTAGAACATGGTCAGTGTTTAATAAATGCTTGTTGACTTGATTTCAGAAAGCGTAGTAATCTATTGTTAGATACAGAGATCATAAACGAAAAGCAAGGTAGTTAATTAAATATGGGAAGATCACTAAATTATGTTGTCATTAGAAAAATTCAAAGCAGAAACCCTGGTGATCATTTTTTAGACGCCAAAGACAAAACTGAAATAATTGTTGCCTTCAAGGAGCTGTTACATTCCTTGGAGGGGGGTATACTATGTACACATAGAAACTAGATAGATCCAGAACATGGGTGGGGAGAAGGCCATTCTCCAATGGATAAATGGTTGAAGTGAACAAAGGAAGAATTGCAGAATGTTCACAGCCCCATGAAAAAATGCTCCAGGTCACTATTAGAAAAATGCGAATCAGCACAATCCTGTGATTTCACCTCACACCCTGCAGAGTGGGCAAAAATGATCCAGAATGGCCACAGTCAGTGTTGGAGGGATTATGGGAAGGTAGGCACACATTGTTGGTGGAACTGTGAAATGGTACAACCATTTGGAACTGTGTAAATAAAATGGCTAAAATGTCCATACTCTGAATCGGAGACACCATTACTGGGTTTTTATAGCCCAAGGAAGCCATTGATAAGGAAAAAAGTCCCTATGTACTTCAAAATATTTATAGCAGCACCTTTTATGATAGTGAAGAATTGGAAACAAAGTGGAGGCTCATCAATTGGGGAATGTCTCCATAAATTGTGGCACACGGATGTAATGTAAGATGACTGTGCTGTAAGAAGTAATGTATGTGATGAATGCAGAGAAGGATGCAGAGATGCAGAGTGAAGTGAGCAGAGCCAGGAAAACCACATTGACAAGCAGCTCTAGAACTGGAAATGGAAAGAATAGTGACACACCCCAAAAATCATAATGATCCAGGAGGGCTTAAGCAAAGAGAAATAAGAAGACCCCTCTGGCTCACTCAGGGAGGTGGGAGGCCCACAGGGGGTCACATGGTACATGTATTTTTGACTTTCTGTACGTGCCCATCAGTTGTGCTGACTTTTTTCCCCCGTCTCTAACAAATACTATCTCATATGGGATGGCTCTCCTGGAGGGAGAGGAGGAGGGATACACAGAGTACTATGGTGATGTAAAAAAAACAGAAAGTGGCAGTAAATACTTTGGGGGGAAAAAAAAGAGGTGCAGGTTGGAAAGGAGAGCATTCCATGCATGAAGAAGGTGTGCAAAGCCACAGGTTTGGCTAGAGTGAGTTTGAGAGACTGGTGGAACGTCACTTGGAACGTCACTTGGAAATATCCCAGAGGCAGGTGGTGAAGATGGCGTAGGGGTGGGGGGGATAGAAAGTAGCATGGGAGGCTTGAGGAGAGAAGAGATGATTTGGAAGAGCCACATTTAGGCCTTTTTACCCTCAAGGTTCCTCATCTTTGCAAGTGGACATTTTGGGTACAGGAAAACTGCCATTTTGCAAGATATATTCTCAATGATCAGTTGCTAATTAAAACATAATTCTTCAAATTGAAGGTTTCCAATTGCTTTTATGAATTGCTTTAGTGGCTAAAGTAATCTTGACAGAGCTGAGATACAATCTCCTCTTTGGCTGTGCTCTTCAGAAAAACAGAGTGGTAGTGACAGCCAAGCATCAGCTGATAAAAATTTTCTAGCTTTGGACATTTGGGATCAGGGTTCTCTATTTCTGATATCAGCTCAGAAATTTACAGAATGCACGTAATCCTCATGTTGGATGTATTGGGTGCAGCTCAGCACTTTGTTTTAGTAAGCGCTCCTTTGAATTAGTGTACTAACCAACAGCTAAGTAAAATGTTGATAATCCTGTGGTCAAAGTTTTGTAAATCTTATGCCCCATTTAGTCATCCTTGATTCCTGTCTAGATTCCAAATGCTCCCATTAACAGTAATATCAGGGTGATAGGAAGGACCTGACCCTGGCTGGTAGCCCAGGCATGTTATAGTGCCATGTGGTGTGGAACCTCTTTGGCTTAGCCGTTGGCTCATAGTTTGAGCCAACAGTGGCGTTTTTAATTTCATTTGATGCTGCTGAAGGATGTGCCCAGTAATGATGACTGTTGTTGTGTGGACATGTGGATGTTCATTGAGTGCCATGGGGAATGTGCTTGTTTTCAGGGGACAGTGCTAGCTTGCTGTATGTTCTGTGGGTAACAGAACAGAAGGGTAGATCAGACACTGGACAGCAAAGGAATCTGAAAGGTTATGACAGGGCAGAACACTGGC